CCCCAAGAAAACTCTGCTTTCCCTAACCAAAGGACTGTTAAAGGGGACAGGCTAGCAAGTCATAAAACTTTTACACAATCACTACTATACTCTAACCAAACACCACAGAAGAACTGCAGCCCCTCTCCCCGCCACATCTCCCAGCAAAGACTGAGGGAGACTCCTGCCTTTGACAGGTTGTAACACACTTCAACACCCTGCTGGTGTGGTGTCAGAGAAGGCTCAGTAGAGGGACTTTCATCTCCACTGGCTGGCAACAAACCTCCCACTTACCCCAACAGTCAGTGGAGACCATGTGGAGACCCTAGACTTAAGCTTCCACCCAGCAGTAACGAGGTGCCCCTCCCACTCCCTGCTGGGGTGATGTCAGAGGAGGCCTAGTATAGAATCACAACTTTCACCACTGCAATGCGGAGGATACACACACACATTGTGGTGTCTGTGGAGGTCACTCCGGGAGCAGTAATGACGTTCCAGTTCTTCCCTCCCAAGCGATGGTATTATCATTGGAGGCCTAGTGGGGTGTCAGAACTTCCACTTCCACCCAGTAGTATCGAGGAGTCCCTCCCTCCCTCCCCTTGGGTGTCAGCAGAGGCCAAGTGGGGAACCTGGACTTCCACTTAAACCTGGCAGAAATGAGGCATCACTAGCCATTAGGAAATGCAAATTAAAACCACCTTGAGATATCACTATATAATCATTAGAACAAATAAAAATAGCGACAATACTAAATGCTAGTGAGGATGTGGAGAAACCAGATCACTCGTATGTTACATTTTCCATTCTGGAAAACAGTGTAACAGTTTCTTAAAAAACTAAGCATGCAACCACCATGCTACCTAGCAATTGTACTCTTGGGCATTTATCTCAGAAAAATGAAAACTTGTATGCTCTCAAAAACCTGATACATAGGATATATTGTTCATAGCCGTTTTATTTGTAATAGCCCCAAACTGGAAACAACCAAAATGTCCTACAATAGGTGAATAGTTAAGTAAACTTTGATATATCTGTACCATGGAATACTACTCAGCAACAAAAAAGGAATGAACTGCCAGTACACTCAACTCAAATGTATTTCAAGGGCATGGAGCCCTGTGACACAGTGGTTAAGAACTCAGCTGTTAACCAAAAGGTTGGCAGTTCAGATCCACCAGCCGCTCCTTGGAAGCCCTATGGGGCACTTCTGCTCTGTCCTATAGGGTCACTATGAGTTGGAATCAACTCGAGGACAGTGGGTTTGGTTTGGGTTTATGCTGAGTGAAAAAAAAAAGCCAATCTCAGAAGGTCACATGCTGTATCATTCCATTTATGTTACATTCTCAAAATGATAAAATTATAGAGATGGAGAACAGATTATTGGTTGCCAGAGATAGGTATGGTGGGGGAAGGGGGATGGGTGTGGCTATAAAGGAGATCATTGTGATGATGGAATAATTCTGCATCTTGATTGAGGTAGTTACATGAATCTACACATATGATAAAATGACTGAGCTATACACACTTTAGACCAATGTCGATTTCCTGATTTTGCTATTGTACTATTATTACTGTAATGTAACTACTGGGGAAAGCTGAGGGAAGCATACATGGGCCCTCTCTGTACTATCTTTGCAACTTCCTGTGAAGATATAATTATTTCAAAATAAAAAGTTAAAAAAAAATTAGGATAGGTAAAATCTTAGAATTGGAAAGACCTTGGATAGTGTGTGTCAAATTTTACTGAATCTTTCTTTAAGAAAAAAAACCAAACCGTTGCTGTCAAGTTGATTCTGATTCATAGCGACCCTATAATCTGTCTTCTAGGCATCCTTAAAAGATGTTTTTGCTTAAGGATGGGAAAACCCAGAAAAACAACTCTAAAAAGAGGGTCTCTGGGTGGAGTCTTAAGATAAAAATCTCCTAGGAAGCTTTAAAGAATACTAATGCTGATAGCATTAATCCAAAAAACACAAAATAATGTTGGAGAGGCTGTGGAGAGACTGGAACACTTACACACTGCTGGTGGGAACGTAAAATGGTACGACCACTTTGGAAATCGATCTGGCACTTCATTAAAAAGCTAAAAATAGAAGTACCATATGATCCAACAATCTCACTCCTTGGAATATATCCTAGAGAAATAAGAGCTGTCAGACAAATAAATATATGCACACTCGTGTTCATTGCGGCACTGTTCACAGTAGCAAAAAAGATGGAAACAACCTACGTGCCCATCAACGGACAAATAGATAAACAAATTATGGTATAGTTACACAAGGAAATACTACGCAGCAATAAAGAACAATGATGAATCTGCAAAACATCTTACAACATGGATGAATCTGGAGGGCATTATGCTGAGTGAAATTAGTCAGACGCAAAAGGACAAATACTGTATAAGACCACTATTATAAGAACTTAAGAAAAGGTTTAAACA